GCCCCTCCGCCCCCGCTAGGCCCCAGCGTGATTTATCCGCAACATGTTATTAAACTGGTCATCCGGGCCGATTGGGCGGCCGTGTCGGGTCACAGCAGGGCGCCGATCAGGGGGTAGGAAGAAATGGGGAAGAATCGATCAAGCTCATGCTGATGGCCAGGTCGGAGGGGAACACCTCGGATCTCCGCAAATCTCTCTCTCGGTCTCGCGGTATGGCGGCGCCACGGCTGCGGACTGGAGCAGCAGCAGCATGGGGCGGGGCAGGTGTGGCCCTGCTGCAGCGCGACAAGACGGCTGCGGCACACAAAGGCCTCCCGATAAACTAAACGGGCCGTGTTAAGGTGTCGCGTCGTGTCCGTACGTCGCTAGTGTGTTGTGTCGCAAGCGGCGTGTTGCCGAGTGTCGCGGTTGTGACGCCCGAAGTCGCGCGAGGCGAGTAGGGGCGGGGCCGGGCGCGCGACATCACCGACAGTGCTAAAGTGAAAACTGAAAACACAGTTCCTCCTGCCGAGGCCGCCCAGCTGCAGAGACGAGCGTTGTGCGCGACTATGCGAGCCCTGTGGGCTGGGCCTACATTCTGAGGGAGATGTTGATTGTGGTGGAAACTCGACACTCAAAAGCGAGACGAAATGGCGATGTGTCGATTTGATCCCTATAGAAGAATCGCATTGAGTGCATCATGAGACTCGCTACGGTCTAGGCCCGGGTGGTCTGGGAGAAACAAGGGAGTGCGGGACCAGGACAAGCAGGCCTGGCGCAACCTCAGGTGGCGCCCGGCGCCCAGCCCAATTAGTGCGAGGGGGCCGAACCTCTGCGGACCAGCCTGGCCGCGGGCTGAGGAGAGCAGGAGAAGAGGGCCGAGCGAGTTCGACTTGCCTCGCGGGAAATTAGCGATATCTGGGAGAGGAGAGGAGTGGCGGGGCGTGGCGCGGAGTGGCGGCGGGGAGCGCAAACCTCGGCGATGCGCGGCGCGATGTACGGCGCGCCGCGACCGGGGAGGGGGAGGTGGGGGGTTATTAACGGCCGGGGGTCACGCGATCTGCAGAATGCCGCCGATGCACTCATTAACATGGGCGTCATAAATACCGCCCTCTCCACACCGCACGGCGCCGCGGCAGCCTGCACTGCGGTAGCGCCGCCCGAGGGGAGGGAGGGGGCTCCTGTGGGACTCTCAGACACCACACCTCCAGGCAGAGCTACAATAACAATCCTGTTTCAGGAGCATGGCCGCGCCGTCGCCGCCGGCTGCCGCGGGCGCCCAGGATGACGACGAGGACCGACACTTCTGCCTGCGCTGCCGGCAGACCATCGAGGGTCTCGACGAGTACGTGTTGCACCGCAGGACAGGCTGCAGCGGGCCCGCGCGACGCGCCCCAGCGGCGGCACCGCTCCAGGACGACGCCGAGGGCGGCGGTCTCAAGGCGGCCGACTTCTTCTCGCAGCTCGAGCTGCGGAGCAGCGCCAAGGTGAACGACGGGGCGCCCTCCACGCCAGGGCCGCCGGCGGGGCCGGCGGGGCCGCGCGGGATGCTGACCAGGAGTAAGAGCTCCGCACCCCGGTCCTCGCCGCGCGCCCAGCTGCGCCCCACGCCCCGCGCCAAGGCCGCCAGGACCGCCAGGCGTGGAGTGAGGAGGGCGGCGACGCCCCTGACGACGGAGGAGGTCGACGAGGAGGATAACGACTCGTGGCGGTACCCGCCGAAGACGCACACCGGGGGCAAGTGGGGGCCGCAGCCACCCGAGAGCGACCCCCGCGCCCCTCCGCCCAGTGCGGGCGGCAAGTGGGGGCCGCCGCCACCCTCGCACACGGGTGGCAAGTGGAGGCCGTCTTCGGCAACGGAGCAGGTGGAGCAGCTGGCGGAGCAGGACGACGTCGGGCCGTCCCCGCAGGACGCGCAGGACGACTCCAGCGCGCAGGAGGAAGAGGACAGGGAGGAGTGCCAGGCTGACAAGGACCTGCACCCTCCGCCCTCGCACACGAGGGGCAAGTGGGCGCCCGGCATGGCCAACAAGGTCCGCGCCGTGCTCATGGCGGACGCGGCGCCGGCGCGGAAGTACGGCAGCGCGGTGCAGTACTGGTGCGGCTCCTGCAACCGCAGGCTGGCCAGCAGCAGGCTGTACGAGAGACACCTCAAGTCCGACCTGCACCTGCGGCGCACGCTCCCCGAGCGGCAGCTGGACACGGGCCCGCTGCCTCCCCACCACCCCGGCAGACACAGGGTGAGCAGAGCACCCTTGAAGCAACCCTTAAAGTCCCTGAACCAACACAAATTTAGTATTTTACCTAATTTACAGAGTGCTGTTCGCTACATGCACCAGCCGCAACCGGACCATCCCGGTGAATCACCCTTCAGGGAGCAGCGTATTCGGGACGGGAAACTAGAGCAAGGTCACCGGTTAGGGGAGCGGGGTCAAGGGCACCGGGTGGAGCGGTGCGCGGTGTGCAGGGCCAGGGTGCACCGTCACCAGATCGGCAAGCACCTCGTGTCGCACTTCCACTGGCGCAGCACCAGGACGACGGAGGTGGGCTCCGTGGCCGCTGACCTCATCCTCGACAACATCGAGGCCGTGGTGCGGCAGTCGCCATTCCAGTGCGGCCTCTGCAAGTTCTACTGCAACTCCTCAAGCGTGTTCCGTCAGCACTGGGCCTCGGAGGACCACCGCCAGCAAGACAAGAAGGTAAGGGGGATAGTAACAGGCACAAAGATTTATCGTAAAGAATTTCAGATGATTTTGTGATCATGTTTGTTACTTTGGTTTCTCTCTTCTATGGCATTACATGACATAGAACCTAGAACGTTACCGACAGGACTAAAAATAAACAAACTACATGACAATGACTCATTGTCGAGCGCACAAAATACAACTCACCTTTGTTTTGGTTGCCTGCTGTTCCGTCTCAGGTGTCTAGTGAATCCGGTCAATACTGGTGCTCTCCATGTGAGGTAGGATGCTTCACAACTGATGAGATGGAAAATCATCTGTGGTGCGATGCTCACCGAGAAGTAGAGGCAGCTGTCAACAGAAGCGTTGCAGTTGTTGTTACGAGAAGGACATCTTTACGTTGCAAGGCTATAGGGTAAGAGCAAATTCCACATGTTGCATAGGTCGACCAAAAAATGTGTTCCAAAGTTGGCGAAATATGAAATACACAAGACACTAGAAAACTACATTAAATACTAAGAAAAAATACTCACAAGTATAGCCTTGCTTCTTCAACAACCAGCAAGATTTCCACAACTGTTCTTCCAAGACCACGTTTGCATGGTCACTGTGAGGTTACGGACGTCACTGACCGTTCTCATCTTAGCTTAGACCACTAACAAATAACTTTCGATTATCAGTGTTGCGAACAAGTTATCGATGATTCTAAATTCAGTGTGCATTAACAAAGCAGTTGATAAGATTAAACACGGGTAAAAACTAACGAAATGTGTTAACGAACAAGTAACGCGAACTTTTCGTCAACCAGCTCCGACTGGCGACAAGTGCCGGTGGCGCTGTCGGGCTGGGAGCGGGAGTCTCTCATTCATTGCGTTTGAATAGACCTCTTGCGCCGAACTTAAGGAATGCTCACAAATCACGTATTTCTTCAACTTTTAAAAGGGTTATCCAACAAATCGTAATGTTTTAACAATAAGGTACTCCGGGGCTCGGCTAGACCGGAAAGAGAAGAGCGAAAATCTTCGAGCACGGGGAGGACACCGTTGGGCGGGGGAGGGAAGGCCCCCGCTTCTCCCTACTCCCCGTGCCCACGATTTTTGTTCTTCTCCTTCCGGTCTAGCCTCGTAGAAAGTTGGACAGTCACTCTACAATTTATCTCTAGTCTCTCAACTATACAACGTCTCTTGTCGTGAAAATTAGTTTTCCTACGCCATACGCCACTTTTGCTTTTTGCCAACAGTTGCCATGCCGAGTTTCGGTATAACGCCCAGCTCGGTCGCCACGAGCGCCTGCACGGTCATGAGGTCGGCCCGGGCCCCGGGGGCGGCTGGTCGACGGCCAGCGACCGCTACCAGGCGCGCTTCCGGTGCGCGGACTGCGGCGCTCTCCGGCGGTCGCGCCTCGCGCTGCAGAAGCACCAGCTCAAGCAGCACGCGGCGGGCGCGGGCGCCAGGGGCTGCTTCTACTGCGGCGTGTGCAAGCTGGACCTGTTCCCGTCGGCCGCCGCGGCCGCCGAGCACCGCCAGACCCGGGCGCACCGCGACGCGGTCCGGGACCGGCGAGAGCGGAGGCGCGCGAGGCTGTTGGCGAGGAGGTGCCCCCACTGCCGGTACCCGTGCCACGGGCTGGCCAAGCTGCGCGCCCACCTGGAGGACAAGCACCCCGACCGCAAGCACCGCTGCACACTGTGCGGCCTGGCCTTCACGCTGCCGCAGGAGGTGTCCCAGCACTTCCGCGATGTCCACCGCGCCGCGCCCCCATCAGCGCCCGCGGCCCCCGCCGATGGCGGGTCGCTAGTGCCGCGGGAGGGCGAGGAGCCGCCCTTCACCTGCGCGCCCTGCGGCTTCGCCACCGACTGGAGGGCGGAGATGGCCTTCCACAGGGTGCTGCACGGGCCACCGGAGAACCCAGCTCGTGTGGAGGGCGGTAAGCTCGACCAGCCTCCTATATTGGCCTCAGCTGATGTAATCCTTCATAGTCTCGCGTCCGCAACCGACGGGGTCTCTTGTTTGTGCAGGAGCGGGGGGCGGAGGCGACGTCGACAGGACAGCACTGCGGTACAGGTGTCCGATCTGCTCCAAGTTGTGCCGCAAGCACGCGCTGCGCTCGCATCTCAACGTGCACACCGGCGAGAGGCCCTTCGAGTGCAGGCACTGCGACAAGAGCTTCAGGTGGGTTAGGCGGTTAGGCGATCGGGCTTCTCCCGCCGATCCCGTGGCCCCAGGGTTGCCCATGCCGTGGAATGAATGCTTAATTTCTTGGTCCGCAGCCGCAAGGACTCCTGCGTCAAGCACGAGCTCTCTGAGCACGAGCACCAGGACGACCCGCCCGAAGATGTCCGCGACGAGCAGGAGCGCAGGCTCCAGGATGCTATATCGTCCATAGCGAGCACGGGGGGGGCGCCGTCGACGAGGCCCTCGCCCGGCAGGCTCCCAGCGGTGGCCTCGGCCGACAACTTCTGCACGTCTCCGTCGATGGGCGTCGGGTGGGGCGTCACCACCGCCCCTGCGTCCGGCGACGAACCGGGTGAACCTCGCGAGCGGGAGCACCTCTGCGACAAGTGCGGGAAGTGCTTCTTCACAAAGTGAGTGGACTCTCACCCGGCGTGTATGGCGCTATGGCCGGTGAAGGAATTAGGGGGAAGGGGGGGGGGATTTGCAAACGAAGCATGCTTGGGTAGATAACAAAGGCTGCCTCCATGCGAAAAAGCACAACAGAGCAGGACTCTGCAGAGGGTCCCAAACCAACAGTGTCAGTCTGTACACGTTGGGTGTGTATGTGTGTGTGCGTTCCTGTTTGTGTGGGCTGCTGGGCATGCCAACAGCAGCAGATCTCAAGTAGTGTCCACAAACGCGCGAAAATTTGTTGCCCTCTGCTTAAAATTTAGGAGTTTTGACCAGCGTGCCTGTCCAGCCAAGCAACCAGAGTGAGCCTGGTGGGGCGGGGTTGGCCTGGATGGCCGTTGGCCCTTATCTGGGGAGTCCAGCGGTAGGCAGGGATGGGCAGGGAAGGGACCGCTCACCCCTTACAGCTCCGAACACCGTGATTCGGACGAGCCGATACTAGTGAACTACGTAACCCCTGTTTACATTGCCGTTTAAAGCAACGTGACTTTGACCTCTCTTTCAATCATATTCACTTCAACTTCAACTTCAACGAGGGTTTTAACGACTGCTTGTTCATAGCGAACTGGAGCCACCCATTTCTCGGGTCACGCAGTCAGGCCGGGTCCGGCCCATCCCCTGCGGTAGGCTAGTGCCGTCCCGTCCGTGGGTTCGCAAAAGTGCAACTAAAAATCACTGATAATAAAATCGCGGTAAAACAACCTAAACAGATTGGCCTATTTAGTTTGCGGGTCTCGGAAGTTTGTTTGGCTTGTTTTCAGCGAGGAATCGGCGGAATGAGTTTGGCTTCCTCGCTCCTCTTTCGTTTCATTAAAACAAGCACACGCCCCCGAGTGTGTCCGTGTGGGCAGCTCCTCCCCACCCCGCCCCGCCCCGGCGTACGTCTCATCAGTAAATACGGCGCGCGGTGAGTTTGCGCTGAGCTCGGGCGTGGCGGTGCGTGGCGGGGGTGAGCGGGTCCGCTGTCCAGATTAAACACGCAGTTCTTCTCCTTCCCTCCGGCGGCGTCCAGGACTACGCTCCGCCAGCACCAGCTGTCCGTGCACGGCGTCAAGCCCCTCGCCTGCTCCTGGCCGGGTTGCGCCATCCGGGTCCGGTCACCCGCCGAGCTGCGCGCCCACGTCGAGACCCACACCGGCGAGGGCGAGGCGGGCGCGTTCGAGTGCCAGACCTGCCACTTCTTCGCCAAGTCCAAGAGGCTGCTCAAGAGGTAAGAGGAGAAGGGTTGCGCCCGGAGCGAGACGGACGGGCGACTCGGACGCGTCCCTCGATCAGGGCATAATGATAAGCAGCAGTTTTAATTACGCCAACCTGTCTCCATAACTAAAGGTTGCTGCTTGCTTTCACGATAGCCCTGTCTCTCCCCCCCCCACCCCCTCTCACTCGCTCGCTGGCTCCCTGCAGGCACGAGACGCTCCACACGGGCGAGAAGAGGTTCAAGTGCGAGCACTGCGACTTTGCGGCCCGCAACAGCTGCGCGCTCATACGCCACCGGCGCGTGCACACGGGCGCCAAGCCCTTCTGCTGTCCGCACTGCAACTACCGCTGCAACAACTCGGTGAGTCCTGCGCTTAGGCCCTGCGGGTCCTGCGCCCGGTGGACGTTGGGTTGCCTAACCCCACGGCGCTCTCCTACCAGCACGCAGTGAGTGCGCTGCGCGCCGCCCCTTCGAGACGACTGTAAACGGGCCTCTTTTCCAGGAGAACCTGCGCAAGCACGTGCTCAAGACCAACAAGCACCCTGGCAAGTGCTTGTACGAGTGCCGCTTCTGCTCCGAGTCCAGCGACGCCGGCGGGGGAGACGGCGGCGTCTTCGCGACCAACGCGGCGGCCGACTTCCGGTCGCACCTCGCCCGCGCGCACGCCGGCCAGTTCCGCACGCTGTCGGCCGCGGCGTCCTACGTGGCCGGGATCTACGACAAAGCCGCCGACCCCGCGCAGACCACGCAGGTGCTGCAGCCGAAACCGAGGTACGTGAGCCGAGACTGGAAGTCCGAGCTCGTCAGTGTCAGTGTGTGTGTGTGCTAAAAGCCTATTGGTATGAGAAGCGCTCTAAAATCCCCGACTGACGTGACGAACCCGCAGGAAGCGAGCAAGAGTGGATGGGGCGGATGCCGCGACCCAGATGGAGCCGCCGCCGTCGTCGCCGGGACCGCCGCTGTCGACGCTGTCGACGCGCCCCATCCTCGCCCCCCGGCCGCCCGTCGAGGAAGAGCCGCCCACCTCCCTGCTTCCGAAGCACGTAAGTGCAGTGGCCTCTGAAGTGGCACCCTCCAACTCACCGCGCCCACTGCTGCATGTCTCTGTACTGATGTGTTGTCGCGTCTTGCAGACCCTGCTGGACGGCGAGCTCTTCCCCGCCATGGGGGTGGACGCGGACTTCCCCGGGGACGTCGTGTACGTCCAGCTCGTCAACGACGACGAGCACATCGTGGTGCTTCAAAACTAACGACACTGCTGTCTCCGATACGGACGTTATACTGTGTGAACTTGTGAACGTGGTTGCTTGCTAGTGTGGTATTTCCGGCTGTGATTAGAGCAATTCAGTGGCTCAAGACATGCATACATTGTAAGAAGGGAACATTAAAAAGTATCGACCCATGAGCGGCCGCAGCATTGGTTTTCCGTTTCCCTGTCAGCACGATAGCCACAGGGTATCCCAATCCCAGTGGAGCGCCGAGCGGAGGGGGAAAGAGCAAAAACGAAAGGGGTCGTCCAGGGAGGGGCCCGGGAAAGCAGCGCGGGCACCTTTCCACCTTCCGTTTTTGATGGAATACCCTATTCGCCTGCCTGGAAAGAATGCTCAGCGCCTGAGTGGTGGGGCGAGGGAAAGCCCGCAGAAAACGACAAGCGAGCAGTGTACAGTAACAACTCACCCCCACGGCTCTCAAGTGTCCCCGAGGCCGGAGCCGGAGCGCACTTACAGAAGCACACGTCATGCGGTATCACCAACAACCTTATTGTTTATGTGAACATGCGCACACATGCATCCCCCGCAGCACGCCTCATATTTCTGTCCGTCGCCGAGGTCATTTCTCAAGTCGCGCCGCGCCACGTCCAGGAGGCGACCCCACTCACTACAGGGGCTCCGCCGCGCCAGCCGCGCCCTGCCGCCCTGCGGCGAGCCCCCTGCCGCCCCCGCCGCCCGCCGCCCCGCGGCCGCGCCGAGCCTCTGAGATACGACTTGAGCCTGCTTACAACTACATTATGTAGCACTGCACGGGTGCGGCTCGGCTGAGGTGACGGGGCTCTTCGTGTTGAGGAGGCGATGAGCCGAGAGGCGCCCGGCCTGCCCGGCCTGGCCTGGGGGGTGGTTCTACCCTTATCCGTCTGGAGAGCGATGTCCCAGGCCTCGCTCTTTATGGGCCCGACTGCCGCTGCACTAGTGTGACGCGTCACGTGACATGCTGACATGCACACTGCAGTCGCGTGGGCGCCGCAGTCGGGCGAAAGGGGGAGGGTGTCCTTGGTGTCCTGCGGGAGGAAAGGCATTTTGCAAGGCATAGCGGCATTCGGACCGCTGGGGACAGGGTGGTCTGTGTGCGCAGTTCTTCTTAACGTAGCTCCAGGCATTGTAGTTATCGAACGATTTGCCGGAAATGTCGCCACTCAGGACCAAGGATCTTCTCTCCTCCCCTCCCCTCGAGCCCCCTCCGCACCTACACCCCATCAATCTGGCAACGCCGTCAATGGTCCTTTTGCTTCCTTTGCATTCCAACAAGGAGGAGGGGGTGGCCG